TGGCAAAGTTTGCCAGAGCCCCTGCTGCCAGGCTCAGGTGGTGGGAAGCATTCATTGTAAACGTCCTCATGGGTTCAGCTGTTTCCCCTCTTGTGGCCCAGGTGTTGGTATTTTTTTTTTTTTTTTTTTTTTTCTGTATTTTAGGCAAGGGTCTGCAGGCGTTCAGGGTCTCACTACTAGATCAGATTCATAGTGATCCGTCTGTTCACAGCCTCCCAAGAGCTGGAATTACAGGCATGCCCCACCACGCCCTTTCTCAATTGCTGTCTCAGTGTCCTGGGGGCGGGGCTGGCTCGGGCGGTAGGTACTTTTTTGGCACGACGTGCAGCCATTTGGGTAGGTGATACCAGAATGCCCATGAGCTTGGGAATAGAAGGGGAATTGTGTGGTGGACTTGGCTTTAACTCCTCCGATCCTGGGACTCCTCAATCTTTCACCACCAAGTTTGCCCTGTGGAATTCTTTGGCCTGCCTTGGAGGGTGCTTAGGAGCATTGCTGGCCTTTACCCACTAGATGGCAGTAGTATCCTCCCCGGCTATTAAAAAATACCTATTCATTGAGAGTCACCTGGGTTTTAAGAACCATTCCCTGCATCTAGGTGCCTCCCACTGCTGCTGGTCCGCGGTGCTGTCCAAAACCCTGTCAGTGCCTCCAGCAGGAGCGAGTACATGTTGTGGAGGGTGTCCTTGCCCTGCCAAGGTCAGCAGCGCCCTTTCCCAGTTAGCTTGGCAGGTGGGTGGAGGGGGCATGCTGACAAGGCCCAGGAGGATAGGAAGCCTTCACAGAGACGGGGGAGAAACACTGCCTCTGGGCAAGTTAGAGGTGGTAGCCACAGAGCCGCAGGCAGTTTGTGAGGAGCTCAAGGCAGAAGCCAGGCTTTGTTTCTGACTGTCTTTATTCTAAAGAGATCTAAGTTCTCATCCAAACCCTCGAGTCACATGTAAGTCTGTGTCCTTGGGGGTTTGCTCAGCCTGGCAGCTTAAAACAAGTCCTTGCTGTACCCTCAGCCCATAGCTGGGGTGTGCAGCTGGGCTGTTCCAGAACCTCTGCTGTTAGGGGAAACGGGATGCCTGCAGCTCGGGAAGAGAGAAGAGGTCACAGGGTGCTACAGCGCAGGAGAGAGGAATCGCGTGGAGCAGAGACACGGTGTCAGACTCCGTGAGCCATCCCGGCTTGTGGGTGGCCTTGCAGCATCTGAGTGGGACTGGAGTGGGGTTCGAGGCAGTGCCTTGTCTGGGTACAGTAGAAGTTGCATTTACTCCACAAGGCTTGCAGGAATGCTTGTGTTCTTGTGTTTAATCTCTTCCATTCTTTCTGGAGCAGTTCTTTTGATTTGTTGGTTTCATGCCCCTTCCTCTGCTAGGAAAGAATTTGCAAAGGATTGACAAGGACATCACCAAGAGACGCTGCAGATAAAGAAGTCAATGTAAAAGCAGAATTGAGTGGTCTAGGGAAAGTTTTTATACGAAAACTGGTCTACTTGTGCTTTTTGGGGTTAGTGAAGCTTTGAGCTTCCTAGCAGTGAAAGTCCAAAGGGAAATAATTTTTAAAAGGGCTTTCATTTCCCCAAAATTAGAAAGCATTCCAGTTGATTTAGAGAAGTAGAGGCTGTCCTTGAAGGATACCTGAAAGGACCTTCTCCATGTGACATAGTAGATGGTGGAGAATCCAGCTGTGTGTGATTCTAGAACATGGTTTAAGTGCTGGCCAAGTAGCTCAGTGGATTAAAGCACCTGCAAGGAGGCACAAGGGCTGGGGTTCAATCCCCAGGCCTGCTGTGCCGGCCCCGCCCCCAGGGCATGCTGAGACAGCAATTGAGACTGGGCATAGTGGTGCGCGCCTATAATCCCAGCTCTTGGGAGGCTGTGAACAGGCAGATCACTACGAGTCTGATCTAGTAGTGAGGCCCTGAACACCCTGTAGACCCTTCTCTAAAAATACAAAGACAAAAACAAACCATGGTTTAGTTATAGCAGTTCCTAGGGACTTGGGGCAAAACCAGCAGCTCTTAAATCCAGAGCTCCATGGTGACTTACTTAGGTTTTTTTTTTTTTATTTTTTTTTTATTATAGGGATGTTGTTTCTTCTATTTCAATTTTTAACTTTTTATTTTTTATATAATTTTATTGAGAAACAGGGCCTGGGGAGATGGCTCAGTGGTCTAAAGCACCTACTTAGAACAAGCTTAGCAAAGCACAAGGGACCGCGGTTCAATCCCCCAGCACCACATGCCAGCCCGCCCCGCCCCCTGGTGGGCTGAGTTGGCCACACACACACACACACACACACACAAATAAAATAAAAAATTAAAAAAAAAATTTTATTGAGAAACAAATAGCAATGAGACTGTTTCAAAACTGATTGCTAGCACAGTTTCAATTATTCATACATTGCATATTGTTGTCTTAGTGGTTATTCATTGGACAAGATGCAGACATGATATCCTGTCCACAAACACTATTAGAACAAATCTCTCTATTCATTGAATTAAGAGAATGCAGCTGTATATTTATCCTGTTTTGAATATACAGATACAAAATGGTCGTTCCTTTGTATCCTTTTTTGGTTCATTTTGTCAGAGAAGGGTATTCCATTGTCATTTAAATATTGTAGGTACGTGAATTCAGCAAAATATTCCTTGTAGTCCAAATAGCAGTAGGTTATCCATAGGACTGGCAATGTCAGAAGTCGTTGACTTGGAGCCTTTCACAGCTCGGCATATTAGTATGGCTTTACTTGTTATACTTCGTTCTTATTCTTTTCTGCTGGAACTTACTTAGGTTTTAAGCATGGCTCTGTCTCAGGCTCGAAGGTGGAGCATCTACCACCATGTGCCCAATGAGCGTGGTAACTCGCGGCTCTTCCTCCGCTCCGAGTGTATCAGTGGGGGCCCTGCAGACCCTTGCTGCACCCATATCTTCTCCCTTCCCCATGCCACTCAGAGACTTTTTTTTCTTCCTGAGCAATGTCTTTTTTTTTGTTTTTAAATGTATTTAGTACAGGGTCTACAGCATCTCATTACACAGATTGGACTCCTAATGATCCTCCTGCTTTCAACCTCCCATGCAGCGGGATTACAGGCATGTGCCACCACACCCAGTCTGAATGGCTGTCTCTGGGCACCCCAGGGGCGAGGCCGGCACCGGAGATCGAACCCTGGTCCCTGTGCCTGTCTAAGCAGGCGCTTTAGTTGAGCAGCTTTTACAGCTGGTGGTCCCAGGCCCAGGTGCCAGGGGCTCCCTTCCTGACGCCACTCTTTTCTCACTGCGGCGGTCACCACCATCCTTCCCCGGACAGGAGATGATGATTCTTTGGAAAAATCCTCCCTTGGCCAGGCACGGCCATGAACATCTGCCACCCTGGCACTCTGATACCTACTTCTAGGATTAGTGAGACCCTGTTTAAAAATACAAAAAGATTTGGGGTTGTAGTTCTTTGTGAAAGCCCTAAATTTAATCCCTGGCACTATTTAAAAATTTTTATTTCCTTTTTGTTAAAGACTTACTCTGCAGTTCAGGCTGGCTTTGAACTCACTTTGTAGCCCAGGCTGGCCTTGAACTTGCAGCAGTCCTCCTGCCTGAGTCTCCCCAGTGCTGGGATTGCAGGTGTGCACTACCACACCCAGCTAACGGTTTTTTTTTTCCTTTATATGTAAAACCAGTGACACATTCTGGAATAATTTGATCAGGCAGCTTCTAGGGTACTGGTCCTTTAAGGAATTCATGCTTTGGGAAGTTATAGATGGATTATACACTCTAGATTTCTAGGACAAAATTTCCTATAGTTTGTTTTATTCTCCCTTCTGTCAGGTATCAAAATGTACTAGAAATTACAACATTTTAGTATTGATAAGTGATAGTTACCCCAACAGTGCTTCAAGCTTGGAATCTTTTCAGATTCCAGCCATCCGGTTCCCCCTTTTAAATTATGATTATTATTTTTAGGAAAAGAGCCCACATGGCTGCTGTACGGTAGACTCCTCTGCAAGGGGTGTTTGCTTTTGTGGCCTTTTTGTGGTCGGCATTTGCGGGGGCGGGGTTAGGCCAGGCTAGCTTCTCAGATCATAGCATAGTTTTTTCCCTCAAGGATGGAAAAGGGAGGCCCTGGATGTGCAGTTCTTGCAGCGCCCCCAGGAAGCACCAGAGGTCCTCACTGCAGGAAGAACTCTTCTTCCGGCCCCACTGGGGTCTTGGCCACCAGCTTGGCCACGTTGTCCTCCTCGGGGAGCAGCAGGACCACGCAGACTGGCACTGCGGGGTTAGTGGGCAGCCATCTCTTCTCTCCTTCACTTCCTCAGATGCGCAGCTCATGGGGAGCCCTCCCCAGGGTAATCAAGCTCATGTCTTTTCTGGGTTAGGGAACTCTGAAAATATCAGGCCTAACCTTCATAGAAGGACCTGGCTTTGAGCCTGGTCTAAGCTGATGCCCTGGCAGAGTGGTGTGGGGCACTCACCTACCCTGCAGCTGGGGCCTGTGCAGCAATAACCAAGCCCTCCCCAAATGAGCACCCTCATGGGCACCCCTTCTGCGATGCTTGGTGCTTCCGGCTCTTGCCCGCTTTGGGCCCTCTGCCCATCCATCGCAAAGCACCCCGTTCCTGGATGGCAGGGCACGAGCTCTTTCCTCCAGAGGCCCCCTGCTGCCTGCTGGAATCCTAGCCCTCTGCCCCTCCCCAGACCCATTCCCAGAGCAGCAGTATTCACACTTGAGTCCTTCACATCTGCTCTCACGTCCTGCTGAGATCATTATTGACTTAGTATGTTTAGTTAAGGCAGCTCCATTAAAATTAAATTCATTTTAGGCTCAAACTTGAGACCTCCGCCCAGCAGGAAAACCAGAATGGCGCGCACTGTACACCTAGAAGCTGGTAGGAGCAGACCCAATGCAGGCTAAAACTGTGCTTTCCTGGCTCCAAATGAATTTGTGTTTGGAGAGGTGTTGGCCTCGGGGCAGGTTCCTTTTGCAGTTAGGTTTGAGGCCAGCAGCACCACCCTAAGACTTGTCCTGGAGTAGAGTGAAGGACAAGATGATTCTGTCCGAGCTGGGGCGATAGCTTGGCAGTCTTAAGTGCCTGCCTGGAAAGTGCAAGGACCTGAGTTCGATCCCTGGTGTCGCATGCTGTGTGGGCCCCAGAATCCTGGGTGCGCCTTGCTGCTCTGCAACATGATGTGGTGGTGCACACCTGTAATTCCAGCACTGGGGAGGTTCAGACAGGAGGGTCACTACAAGTCCCAGCTGTGTAGCGAGACTCTGTACCAATAAATAATTTTAAAAATTGAAAAAAAAAAATCTCCTTGGAGTTTGGGGAGCTACCGGGTTTTGTGGGGTGTGAGTGGGTAGGCTCCCTAACCTTTGCTGAAGGGTTCCTGTCTGGTCTGTTGATCCACTCCAGCTGGGCTCTCCCGAGGCGCTCACCGTGCTCTAGGGGAAAGCGGGCACAGGGTCTTCTTCACCCACCGTAGCATCAGCTAGTTTTTGGGCAGCACTGGGGCTTCTTTGCCTCTTACCCCAAGAGTCTGAGCGAGGGTCTCAGATACGCAGCTCTGGGAAGGATGGGAGCTCCACTGGGGTGAGCGCAGCCTGTCGGATCCTGCAACTTTGCCGGCCTCGGCTGGTTTTACCCTGAACTTGGCAGCATAGAGCCCCCGCAGCAGAATCTGAGTCCAACCCAGCTTTTATTTGTTTTCACGCTTCACCTCTAGCTGCAGGTAAAGCGCCACCACCCACCACGGCAGCAGGCAACCAGTCTCCCCCCGAAACGCCCGTGCTCACTCGCTCTGCCGCCCAAACCCCCGCAGCCGGCGTCCCAGCCACCACCAGCACCACGTCCACCGTCACGGTCACGGCGCCGGCCACCGCTGCCACAGGGAGCCCGGTGAAAAAGCAGAGGCCGCTTTTACCGAAGGATACCACCCCGGCCGTGCAGCGGGTCGTGTGGAACTCATCAAGTAAGTTTCAAACGTCTTCCCAAAAGTGGCACATGCAGAAGATCCAGCGCCAGCAGCAGCAGCAGCAGCAACAGCAGCAGCAGCAGCCTCAGTCTTCCCAGGGGACGAGATATCAGACCAGACAGGCCGTGAAAGGTACCGCGACCCCTGCCCTCCGTGGCGCCCGCCCTCTTTCGGCCACACGGACAGGAGAGAGACCATTGCTGTTTTTATTTTTAACTTTTTGTTGTTCCCATTTGTGTCTTGGCCCTTGTGTTTAGAAGGCCCTCACACATTCCATTTGGCATTACTTTAAAAAAAAAAATCGGTTTGTACCTTGCTTTTTAAAAGTTTTTGTTTTTTTTTTTCATTTTATATATGATACATGCATATTTCATAGAAAGGGGGCAAAATATTTATGAAAACATGAACATTGTCCCCTTCACTTGCCATTGCGTTTCCTTTTCCTCAGCAACCTTCACCAACCCCTGCAAAGCCCTTTCTTATGCATGTATATTTTGATCTATATGTGTGTGTGTGTGACACCATCAATCAACACTACCTTATTTTTTCTTTTTTTTAAACTTAAAAATGGTACCATGCTTTGTTTTTGTTTTTTTTTCCACCCATCAGCATGTTTTTGAGGTCTGTCTGTGTCCTTGCCTTGTTCTTTTTGACTGCTGCGTAGTACCCCATAGTTTGTGTAGAACATTTTCCTACTGGTGAGCATGAAGCTGGCCTCTGATTTTTTTTTTTTTTTTTCTTAAAGAGCACTGCAGTGATACTGTGTAAGTTTCCTTATGCACGGGAATGAATTTCATGGTTTTTTTGGGGGGGGAGACAATACAGCATGAAAAGTTGATAAAAAGTCGCCTTAAAATTAGGGATTAGTCACATCCATAGAATAAACCTGCACTAGGAGCCGCTTGCGGAAATTGCAAAATCAGACTCCCAGCAGCAGTGCAGGATGCTCTCTGTAAGGATAGACACAGTGCTGGTCCCATCAGAACTGGCCCGCCCAGCTTTGTGAGACTGGTGCAGAGGTCATTGCCAGAGAGACCGGCATCTTGGTGCTTGATACTGGGCTCCTGGATCAAAACTGTCATAGTGGGTAGGATCCCAGGCAGCCTCAGGATGTGAGGTCAAAGGTAGCAAGATCTTGGATCAATTCCCAGTGAAGGGGCTAGGGATATAGCTCAGTGGCATAAGTGCCTGCCTGGCAAGTGCAAGGTCCTGAGTTCAAACACTTGTACCACCAAAAAAAAAAAGAAAAAAAGAAAAAAGAAAAGAAAAGAAAAAAAAATAAAAATAAAAATAAAAAAAAATCCCCAGTGAAAGCCTTCAGGGGTAAGGGGGGTAGGGAGCAAGGGAGGATGAGAAACCAGGTAGGTACGCTTGGAGGACAGTGGGGTGGAGCTGAAGCCCAGGCAGTGCGGGTCAGGCCAACTCTCCACGCTGTGGCCTCGTATTCCCTCAGCCTGTGCGCTTGCTTTCATGCGGGGTCTCATGTGGTACTGGAAAGAGACTGGGCTTGTAAGTCTGTGTCCAAGTGAAAGCTAGCCAGAGAGGTGAGGGCCGATGTGTCAGTAGTTACAGTGGTGAGCACAGACTTGAATCCAACTGTCACACCACTAGTTAGGTGATAAGGGAAAATTTGAATCAGTCCTGTGTTACTGTATGAAGGAGTCCAGCAGGAATTTACTCCTTTGATTTGTGCAGAGGTAATAAAATGAAACTTGTTTTTTCTTCTCTGTGCTGGGAATAAAACTACAAAGTTTTTTTTTTTTTTTGAGACGGGGTCTTGCAGCGTTGTTAGGTTGCCCAGGCTGATTTTTCTTTGTATTTTATTTTGAAGCTGGGCTTTGAACTCAGGGCTCTGTAGATGCGAAACAGCCACTCTGCCACAGAGCTGCCTCCTTGTCCTCTGCTGATGGAGGTGATGGAGAGTGTAAGGTAGAAACAGGAAGTAGGAGTGGTTCTGAGTAGGGACGCAGGAGAGACAGGAAAGTTAGACCTTACGGTAAGCGGAAGGGCTTGGTCTAGGTGCGACTTGTCTGGTGTTCGTTAATGGGCGCTTAAAGGTTAGGCTTCTGCCCTTGCACAAAAACAGAGAGATAGGGATCCCATGTCAGGCAGTACTTGAAGGGGGCCTGAGTCATCTCCTTGTGGGACCCTGAAACCTGGAATGGTTCATGTTTGTTCGCATCTTTATAGTTCAAATTAGGCCCAGTGGAGAGCAGGGCTTGGAGGACTCTGGCTAAGAGTCAGGTTAAGGTGAGAATCTTTGTGACTTGGATATAGAAAAGTTCACTCAGCATGTATGAGGGTTTTCCCTTCCATCCTGCCACCCTGCCTCCCTCCTGCCTGGCCGAGGTAACCAGGACCTTTGCCTTCCTAGCTGTCCAGCAGAAAGAGGTCACGCAGAGCCCGTCCACGTCCACCATCACCCTGGTGACCAACACGCAGCCGTCGCCCCTGATCAGCAACACAGGGACCAGCAGCAGCCTTGCGTCTTCACTCAGCGCCGACCTGCCCATTGCCACAGCCTCTGCTGATGTCGCTGCAGACATCGCCAAGTACACTAGCAAAGTGAGTGGGCCAGTGATGGGTGAGCAGGTGGTTAGAGAACTGGCTTCCTGCTGGGAACCCTGAGGGCTCTAACTGGCACAGGGCGGGAGTGTGTGGGAGAGAAGACCCTGTTTTTAAAGTGGACTCTGTTGGATTCTTTTTTTTTTTTTTTTTACACGGAACCAGGAATTGAACTCAGGTCCTTGATTTACCAGGCAAGCGCTTAGTCTACTGAGCTATCTCCTCAGCCCCTCTGTTGGATTCTTGTATTTGGGTCTCAAGTTGGTTCTTGACAGAAAAATACAAAATGGAGCAGATCTGTTCAGGAGGGCTTAGATTGTAAAGTCAGTCAATGGAATGTAAAACATAACTGCAGTTACCCTTCAGAATTCTTTTTTTTTTTTTTTTTTTTTTTGGTGGTACCAGGGATTGAACTCAAGACCTTGACACACACTTATTCCACTGAGGTATCTCTCCAGCCCCCACCCTTCAGAACTCAAATTGCTCATTAAGGATGGATTTTCCTCAGAGTACTGAGACAGATAGCTGACCGGGTGAGGTGGTTTGGGCTTTAAGAATGGCATGAAGTTGACAACACAAGAGGCCTACACCTTGGTCATTGCCAGAACCAGGATAGACTGGGAGCTTGGTGAGTCCCTTCCTTGGGTCGGCCATCCTCAGGGCACAGTCTTTGTCTGTGGCACAGTGGGCAAATGGCCCAGAGTGTGTCATTTCCCAGCTACTCCCTGTGGTCTCGCTCTGGTTGTCCTGATTTACCTGCTGCCTCTAGGGTCATTGTTGAGATTAGGTAGGTACAATGCTGCGGTTCTCCTCAGCATCGGGAGAGTTCTCTGGCGTGAGGTGTCGATTCCCCTCCGTAGACCCCTCGGTGATGATAATGACAGGAATGTTGGCTCCGATGGAAAGAGGGATTCTGCTTGGTGGCTCCCCACCAAGACCAGAAAGGCGCCTGGTGTCCAGTAAGTGCGTGCTCCGGAAATTGTCCAGTGCGTGCATGTTGCCTACCTCTGTTCTGGGCTACGTACTATGAACACCTTAATAGCCAATGAGTAATCTACTGAGTATTCAGTAAATTAACTACATGAGTAATATACAGTAATGAATAGTAATAAATTACATAGCAAACTACATACAGTGTAATATGTACGTAGAGTAATACCACTATATAGTATTAATAGTTAATGTAATTGTGTACACAGATAATAATAATAGTTTTTGGGTTTTTTTAAATATGGTACTGGGGTCGAACTAGGGACCTTGTACTTGTGAGGCAGGAGCTTATACTGCTGAGCTGTCTCCCCGTCCTGTAATGATGATTCTTTACTCATGAGAATATTACTGGTTAGTTACTAAGGAGTAAGCTTCAGGTTCATAGAGAATGGGTGAAGAGTTGTTTCTAGATTTTTTTTTTTTTTTTTTTAAAGAAAGTGTCCAGTTTTGTAATAAAGAGCTGCTTTAGTATACTGAGTTCAAGGTAAAATACTCTTAGATTCTGGATTGTGAGGGAAACATGATTTCTCAGTGGTGTGGTGTTTTTTGGCCTTTTTTTTTTTTTTTTTTTTCTTTTTTTTGGGCAGAACCAGGAATTGAACTCAGGCCCTTGTGCTTGCCAGGCAAGCACTTACTCTACTGAGCCATCTCCCCAGCCCCCATTAGTGGTGTTTTTGTTGCTCATTTTCCTTCTCCTTCTAGCTCACTAGCTTTGCTGTGTATCACTGTGCACTAGAGACCTAGAAACTGTTAACAATTGAAGCTGGCACTCAGCTCTGTGATCCTTCGGTTTCTGTGGGTCAGGAGGCCTGGCCAAGCGGGGCTTTCTGCCTGGGGACCTCATGCTTGTGTCACGGTGTCCACTTCAGTCAGCAGCTCGGAAGCAGGCTCGAAGGGAAAGAATCCACTCTCAGACACTTGGTAGTCACAGGCAGGTTCCACTTTTCAGTGGCCCTGCTCAGCCTGACCACTTGTTTCCTATAGCCTGGTGGCAGTAGGAGCTCCCTTACTTTGCTGTGTTCCATGGTAGAAGAGGGGCCAGCTTGCACCCAGGAAGGACTACACACGCACGCACACACACACACACACACACACACAGAGGAACTAGAGGGTCAGTGTCACCAGGAGCCACTGGTGGTCCGTCCTGGGCGAGACAGCAGTGACAAAGATTCGTGTCACTGCAGTGACTTCTCTGGGTCTCCCACTGTTTGGGGCACTTTTTGTTGGTTATTTCTTCAGTGTGTATGACAAGCTGATGAGGTAGCTGTTACCCTTGCTCCTGATTTATAGATGGGGAAAGGGAAGCCCAGCAAGGGTGTGCAGCTGGCCTGGGGGTCACAGCTGATGCATGGCCACTTTGCAGTGTGCAGGGTGGCGGCTGGCTCTGGATGGTGTGCAGTTCACCTGGCTGGAGCGCGGCTGCAAATGCAGAGCGGGCCGCTCACCAGATGTGTTCTGGATCTGCAGATTTCCACATGGCTCTGTCCAGCAACTTCTCAGCATGCTTCAGCCTGGCTGATGAGGGGGTGGAGTCTATGCCTTGGGCCTAATATAGTTGTTTAATCATTGTGCCTAGGGCTGGGGAGATGGCTCAGTAGAATAAGTGCTTCCCTGGCAAGCACAAGGGCCTGAGTTTAATCTTGGTTCTGGGGGGGAAAAGCCATTGTACCTGTTTTTCTTTCCAGGAAAATGGCTGAACTGACCCTGAGGTTCAGAATAGGAGAGTTTTGGCTGACATGGTGGTGCACACCTATAATCCTAGCACTCTGGGAAGCGAAGGCAGGAAGATCAAAAAGTTCAAGCTCAGCCTGTTCAATTTACAGTGAGAAAATATGTCAAAATTCAAAAGATAAAAAGTGAAAAGGGTTGGGGATGTAGCTCCATGAGGTCCTGGGTTCAATCCTCTTAGTACTTGGGGAAAAAAGCAAAATACACAACCAGAAGGATTTGAGGGGCAGGTAAGTCTCACCATTCATGGTTATTTTCTTATCTGCTTCCATGCTAATAACTTTGCCTGAAATATTTTATTTTAATTAATTGATTTATTTATTTTGGTGGAACTGGGGGGATTGAACTCAGGCCCTTGTGTTTGCCAGGCAAGCGCTTATTCTACTGAGCCATCTCCCCGGCCTGAAATATTTATTTAAACATAATTTACTTTATTTAAATCAACTCATTTTATTTATTTATTTATTTTTTAATTTTTATTTATTTGTTTATTTATTTATTTTATTTTTTGTGTGTGTGGCCAGCTCAGCCCACCAGGGGGCGGGGCTGGCTGGCATGTGGTGCTGGGGGAT